AACATCTCGAAAAATTCTGCAGTCTGTTGGGTTTTTTAAATAATAATAGTGGAAATGTGGGATTTATTGTTATTATTGTTATTATTATTATTGTTACTATTATTATTAATGTTAATAATACTACTTATGATTATTTGTTATATACTTTGATATTTTTATGTGTCAGTTTGGCAGATTTCCAAATTTTGATTTTCATTTCAAATAATTTTCGGAATTTTCCAAATAATTCCGGTGTCTCGAATTTATCGATTGTATATTTTATTGGGTACACATTTTGATGTGCATTATTATACATTTAATGTGTTCGCTTATTTGTGGTTTGGCGTTAATTGATATAGTTACTGATTGGGATGGAGTTAGTGTAGTATTGGGTTGTAGTGAGTGCGTTGTAATCGTAGTAATCGTTTGTTATTATTATTATTTATTATTATTATTTATTATTGTTATTATTATTATTTATTATTATTATTAATATTATTATTGTTATTATTATTGATATTATGATTATTATGATTATTAACGCTTCACATTTTGGTATATTCGCCAATGCTTCCGGATTATCATTGTTTCCTGGTATTATTATTATTATTATATTTGAATTAATATCTTCAAAAGATAATATCCACATCCACATATCCCTATTATATCAATAAATTATTTAATCGAGATTTTAAGTGATCGCAGTAAAATGATACGAAGCGATATTGCGTATGGGTTCGCAGTGAGGGAAGTCGAATCGAGTGAAGTTGACTGTGACAGCACTATATCACTATGAGATGATCGTATTGTGCGCGTATAGCAACGTTGTTGAGCATACGGCAGATCAATGTTTGCTGATCAATGATAGATCAGTGTCTCGTTGATCGCGCGGCAGATCAGTGCTCGTTGATCATAAAATGGATCAATGTTTCGTTTGTTTTTGCAGTGATTGTGCCGCGCTGCGTGAGAGTAGGTCGGTGGCATTGTTGCTGGGTTTTGATTGGTGTTAATTCATTTCATTGATTGCACGTGTCGTGAGTGGTCGTGTTCAGTGTTGGCTGTGTGCGTGGTGACTGGATTTGTTGGTGTTTGGTTGATTTCGATTTGATTCATTGTCCATTAATAATAATAATAGTAATGATAATGTTCGATTAATAATAATATTAGTGATCGATATTACGAATCGTGTTGAATTATTTAGTTGTATATGAAAGA